TAGAATAATACGACTTTTTTTTACTAGCTTCTGTCAATCTCTTTGTGAGCCAAAAACACAAAATACAGCGTTTGTCTTTGAGGTGCCGCGCCGCCGACTGCATTAGCGTAGATACCCGCTGGTTGTTCCACTTCCACATTCATAAGAAAAAATTACATGAATTACTCTTAATGCCTATTGAAATTTAAAATATTATTTTTTTTCTCAAATGTCTGGTAGCATTTTATGACTAAAAACGGGATAATTTCATTAATTAATGCATCAAGTTGTAAATTTAATCAAGAAGGACTTAGGTATGTATTTCTTATTTGCTTCGTCGCCGACGCTGGTTGGATGCAAACCTAATGATATTAGAAAGAACGGCGGAACTCTTTGAGCTTGGCCCACAGACCCCACGCCTATTCTGGTATGGGCACACCGGCGTATTCATGGGAGGGCTTTGGGGCTCCCCTCCCGAAGCGCAACAGCTCATTACGCTTGTTCTACATATAGCATGTTATGCTATATCTTCTGTGAAGTGTAGCTACCTGGACTAAGCGAGCCCCTCCTACTATGCAGTTTTCTATCTCCAAGACACCCCTCCCCTCCGAGACGGAATTTTCATGACCCTGGATCCTGACCCCACCCCCAGATCTTTTTCTGGATAACACCACTGGTTGAGCAGTATCTCAATCTACAAGAAACAATTACTATCTCTAGGCAGCAGCGGTGGCCGCAGTAGTAGATCTTCTGATCAGTCTTGGCTATGGATGTTGTGATTGTCCAGTAGGTGGTAGATGGTAGTCTCTGACTGTCGAACGCGGAGGTACTACCCGGCGGATCTCGTAGGCGGAGCCACAATGTGTGCATGTTGCATGCACACGAGTTCCCTCACCAGAATCCGTGTGGCGTTCCCCCTTCCCCTGTATCCCCCTATAGCCCCACGGTACCCAATGGGTGTTTAGGCCTTCGTGTTAGTTGGAGTATAAAAAAAAATCAACCACAACAGTGGCTCCTACAAATCACTTTTATGAGCACATTTAACATTTCCGTCATCGGACTAAACTAGGAAGTCACAGATGAATAATATTAGCAAATCATAACTGATCGTAATGGTTTGTATTAGCATTGGGAGGATTACTGGAAAAGCAAAAATTCTACATACTTGGATTTCTGCATAATGTGGCTGAATCTACCAGTATGTTTACAAAGTAAGAAGCATGTAGACCAGAATGTAGTTTTGTATAGACACAGAATGGTTAAGCTAAATACTGGTAAAACACTTTTCAGGGCTAATGATATTAGTTGCAAGAAGAATAAATAGCCAGCGCTAATTTCGTAAAGTAAACGGTTTTCATATTTACATGTTAGATGTGAATGTTCAGTTTCCTAGTTAACTACGGCATGTTTATTCAATACCAAACATCCAACCTACCATACCAGAATTAATCAAACAACCTGCTTCTCCCTGAATATTGAAATTTGAAAAATATTTTCCTTTTCAAACGCCTGGAGATATATTAGAAATAAAGATGTAGTCTGCTTTGAAATCATACCATATTTTGAATTTAATTAAGCCTGCACCTACTGGAGACAACTCAACCAAGCCAGGCGCCTCTATAGAATGCGGTTCCTTTATCTATAATTTATTGCTTCCACATAACCCTCCAGTATCAGTAAGGCTTTTTATCCTGTCTTTCCCCCTAATACAACATTGCAATTCAGTATTTGAGAGGCCAGCAAATAAAATTTCCATGTGCCTTTCGTATAGGTAACTTTCGCTCCCTCTGGTAGGCTTAATATGCCCCGGCCACGAGATGTAATCGATCCCGGATATGAAGGATGCATTGTAGAATCGATTTTCGTGAAAAAAAAGTGGTGTTGATTTAAAGAAAAATTGAGAATTTTAATTTTCAAATTTCCATGTGAGTTTCGTATTGGTAACTTTCACTCCCTCTGGTAGGCTTAATATGCCCCGGCCACGAGATGTAATCGATCCCGGATATGAAGGATACATTGTAAAATTGATTTTCGTGGAAAAAAAGTGGTGTTGATTTGAAGAAAAATTGAGTATTTTAATTTTCAAATTTCCATGTGCGTTTCGTATAGGTAACTTTCGCTCCCTCTGGTAGGCTTAATATGCCCCGGCCACGAGATGTAATCGATCCCGGATATGAAGGATACATTGTAGCATTGATTTTCGTGAAGAAAAGTGGTGTTGATTTGAAGAAAAATTGAGTATTTAATTTTCAAATTTCCATGTGCTTTTCGTATAGGTAACTTTTCGCTCCCTCTGGTAGGCTTAATATGCCCCAGCCACGAGATGTAATCGATCCCGGATATGAAGGATGCATTGTAGAATTGATTTCGTGAAGAAAAAGTGGTGGTGATTTGAAGAAAAATTGAGAATTTTAATTTTCAGATTTCCATGTGAGTTTCGTATAGGTAACTTTCGCTCC